TTTGTCTCCCTTTATTTATTAATTTATTTTCCTTTGTTTATTTATTTATTTATTTATTTGTCTCTTCTTTTGTATTTATTTGTCCCTTTTATTTGTCTCCTTTTTTTTTATTTGTCTCCTTTATTTATATATAAATTGTCTATAAATAAATAAATAAATAAATAAATAAATAAAATAAATATATATAATAAATAAATAAATATAGTAAATAAAATAAATAAATAAATAAATAAATATAAATAAATAAGTAAATTAATAAATAAACAAAATAAAATAAATAAATAAATAAATAAAGTAAATAAATACATAAAATAAATAAATGAATAAAATAAATAAATGAATAAAATAAATAAATAAATAAATAAAATAAATAAATAAATAAATAAGTGTGTCTCCTTGATAATATGTTCAGGTACTGTGGCCAATAATAAATAAATATCGTCATTGTTACCAACAATATAAAAGTGTCTCCCTTTCTTCCTTATTTTCTCCTAATTGTCTCCTTTTTATTGGTTATATTTATGTCTCTTTTTCTCCTATTTATTCTCCTCCTGTTAATTACCGTCTTTTATTGGGTCATAGATGGCGTCATCTACCTAATTATACTCATGGTACCCTAGGAGGGGGGGCCGGGTTAACAGTCGGGTCGGGGGGCCCCTTCACAGGTGCAGGGGGGGGCCCCTCGCATGCACCGGCACAAGAAAGGTACTCTCAACAGGGGCCCCTAGACTCTCTATCCTCAAGGGATAGGACCCTATGGGGTAGGGGCCCCTCCTCCTCTATCGATGAGTTTGGGGCCCCTTTAGGGGCCCTTGATGGGGGGGCCCCCACCATCAATAAAGGTAGGGGGGCCCCCATGGGGGCCCCCATAGGGGCCCCCATGGGGGCCCACCTTATTGAGGAAAAAAAAAAAGAAGAAGGAGTAATTGGTGCTGTACATTATATAGAGGTAAATATAAGGAAAGTATATAATTTATTATTAAGGGGAAAGGCAAAGGGTTTATTAAGTTCCTCCTCCTTATCTGTTGCTGCCCTATGGGGCCCCGAGAGTCGTAATCTGCTGCTGCTGCAGCGCAGCAGCAGGAAAGTTAATGCTGCATGCAGCTGCGAATTAGAACCACAAACCCTAGGGTCTGCAGGGGAGACAGTCCAATTATTGGAGCAACTCTATGGAAGAATATTTGTTAATGGACGAGTAAGCTAAACCCTAAACCCTAAACCCTAAACCCTAATTATTCAATTCCCTTATACAAAAATATATATTGTTTATTTATTATTGCTGTTTATATAACAAACACTAGTATCTATGCAAACCTCTCCTCCAATCCAACACCTTCCTAGGGTTTAGGGTTTAGGGTTTAGGGTTTAGGGTTTAGGGTTTAGGGTTTAGGGTTTAGGGTTTATGTTGCAGGTATTATTACCATTTATACCAGGAATAGACCCTATTCTTTGTTTATTTATATTAATAGATGGGGAACCTTTTGCTGAATTATTGTCTCCTTTAGATCTCCTCTCCTTGGAGACACCTGGAGGAGCAGCAGCAGCAGCAAGAACAACAGCAGCAGCAGCAACAGCAGCAGCAGCAGCAAATAGATTCAGAGGAATCAGACAGACAGATCCACAAACCCTAACTCTTCCTCTTGTACCCTTTAGACGCTCCAGTAGACGTATGCAAACCCTAAACCCTAAACCCTAAACCCTATATAAACCCTAAACCCTAAACCCTATATAAATCCCCTTTCCTTCTCTGTTTCTCTGCCGTTTTTTTACACGATCCCCTACCCCTTCTGCTGAATGAATGAGTGTTTAGGGTTTAGGGTTTAGGGTTTATATATGTGTGTATATATTACTATATAGGTATAATAGGAGACCTTGAGGGTTTATGGTCCTGTATAGGTTATATAGATATAAATATAAATAAACAACCAATAAACACTTTTTTTATAACAAAAGAAGAATTTATTCTTCTTAATCTTAAACCCTTTTATAGGGGTTTATATGATCAACAACAAAGAATGTGTACTACTATACGTAAGAAAATAGGGTTTAGGGTTTAGGGTTTAGGGTTTAGGGTTTAGGGTTTGTGGGATTCTTATTGTATGCAAATACATTCTTTTTTTTCTGCATCTCTCTGCATACATTTGCATGCATTTCTTTCCTTTATCTGCATGCATTAATAATATATTTATCTGCATGCACGCATGCATGCATGCATGCATGCATGCGTTTGTTTGTGCAGCAAATACTTACGGGGGTCCTGTAGTTGGTCCCTATGGCCGTTGGTCTCTTTTTGTTAGTGACTTAGAGACACCAGCAGCAGCAGGAGGAGGAGGAGCAGCAGCAGGAGGAGAAGGAGACAGGGAGGAGGAGACAGGAGTAGGTGTCCCCTCTTCCTCTTCTTCTTCTTCTTCTTTTTTTGGTTCCTCTTTCTTCTCTGCAGCAAGGAGACAGGTGTCTCCTTCTATACAAAAAAAAGAAAAAAAAAAATCTTTATTAGATATAGTTAAAGAATTAGAAGAAGAGCAGCAGCAGCAGCAGCAGCAGCAGCAGCAGCAGCAGCAGCAGCAAAAGGAGACAATTTTATTAAAAAAGCAGCAAAAGGAGTCGTATAACCGCTACAACAGCATGACGAGCGCCCATCAGCAGCAGCAGCAGGAGCAGCAGGAGCAGCAGCAGCAGCAGCAGCAGGAGGAGGAGGAGGAAGAGGAGTACGGAGAAGGACCTATAGAGCCATCAATGTGTGTAGCAGAAGGAAAAGGACTAAAAGAAGGGACAGCAGGGGAATGGATAAATTTTATAATAAAAACAAACAATAAAAAAGGAGAGACAGTTATGCATGCAGATGGATATGTTAGGTTATCTATAGAGGCAATAGGTGCACATAGATTTACTGTATCTAATTGCATGCAAGAAGGGACATATACCACTAGCAGCAGCAACAGCAGCAGCAGCAGCAGCAACAGCAGCAGCAGTTGTAGTAACAGCAGCAGCAAAAAAAACGGCGAAGATAGTGTATGGGCACGTTGCTGCAGTTGCTGCTGCATGCAGCAGCAGCAGCAGCAGCAGCACAAGCATGGGACGTTATTTGGTGGTATTTCTGCTCAATCAGCAGCAGCAGCAGCAGCAGCAGCAGCAGGAGCAGGTGCAGCAGCAGGAGGAGGAGTACTATCTCCTTATATATCTCCTGATTTTTTATGGGAAATAAGGAGACAAGAAGGAGAAGGAAGAATAAATGTCTCCTTTTGTATAAAAAAAAAAGGTATTTATTTATTATTTGTCTCCTTTAATGGATTACCTATTGCTGGATCTCCTTTCCTTATTACCTTATCTGCAGCAAACCCTTGTCCCTTATCATCAAGGATAATAGGGGAGGGAGCTAGGGTTTGTTATGCATCTCCATCCTTGCTGCAGCAGGAGGAGGAGGGGGAGGAACAACAACAACTGCAGCAGCAGCAGCAGCAACTGCAGCAGCAAGAAGGAGAGGGACTGCAGCAAATACTGCAGCAACAAATTATACAGCAGCAACATAAACATAAACAAACTTATAAACATCTTGTTAATCATTTCCGTATCTTTATTTGTGATTCTAATGGTAAACCCTAAACCCTAAACCCTAAACCCTAAACCCTAGAAAAACCCTAATAAACCCTAATAAACCCTAATTCACCTCTATAAACCCTAATAAACCCTAATAAACCCTAATAAACCCTAATAAACCCTAATAAACCCTTTTGTTTGTGTGTGTGTGTATATATATATGTATAGGTAATCGTGTACATACAGGTGGTCATTGTATAGGAGTAAAGGGTTTACGTGGTGCTCGTATATTAAGGGTTTTAGATGAGGGTTTAGGGGTTTATAGGGTTGATTATATTGTACGTATACCTAAAACCCTATTTATTAATTGTAAACAACAACATCTTCGTCTTGCTGATTCTATTGCACAACTTCTTTCCTTCCAACAACAACAAGCTAATACTTCTCTTATACAACAATGCAAAGTACGGTATAGGGTTTAGGGTTTAGGGTTTAGGGTTTAGGGTTTAGGGTCTAGGGTCTAGGGTTTAGGGTTTAGGGTTTACGTCTATTGCACAACTTCTTTCCTTCCAACAACAACAAGCTAATACTGCTCTTATACAACAATGCAAAGTACGCTACACGCTTCAGGGTTTAGGGTTTAGGGTTTAGGGTTTAGGGTCTAGGGTCTAGGGTTTAGGGTTTAGGGTTTACGTCTATTGCACAACTTCTTTCCTTCCAACAACAACAAGCTAATACTTCTCTTATTCAACAATGCAAAGTAAATTAGGGTTTAGGGTTTAGGGTTTAGGAGAATTAGGGTTTAGGGTTTAGGGTTTAGATCTATTGCACAACTTCTCTCCTTCCAACAACAACAAGCTAATACTGCTCTTATTGATTAATACAAAGTAATGTTTAGGGTCTAGGGTTTAGGGTTTAGGGTTTGGGTGTATTATTAGGGTTTGTTGTTTGGGAGGTTGTATGCTAGTTATTATCATTGGGTCATATATGAGGGTTTAGGGTTTAGGAGGATTAGGGTTTAGGGTTTAGTTGAATAATGAGGGTTTACAGTAGTGTTTTTCTCTGCTGCTGCTTCTGTTTCTGTTTCCGCTTCTGCTGCTGCTGCTGCTGCTGTTGTTGCTGCTGCTGCTGCAGGCTCTGCAGCGTGAGGGTTTATTACCAATAACAAGTTGCCGTATAGAAGTATATTTATATAATAAACCCTTTCTTTCTTCTCCCTTAGAACCTCTTATTGCTAATCTTGGGGAATTACATAAAATATATACAGAAGCAGAGGAAGCTACACAACTAGGTACAAGGGTTTAGGGTTTAGGGTTTAGGGTTTAGGGTTTAGGGTTTGGAGGTCATAGGGAAGTGTATTGTAGCGGTGGGGGCATCCACATGCAGGGTTCTTATATAGGGGTTAGGGTCTAGGGTCCAGGGTTTAGGGTTTCTAGGGTTTCTAGGGTTTCTAGGGTTTCTAGGGTTTAGGGTTTAGGGTTTGTGTTATAGGGGCATCAGTAAAATTATTTAATGATTGTTTACGACGAGGACTTCATGATAATGCTGCAGATATTCTTGCATCTATTCAGCGTTCTTCTTTCTCTCATGGCGTAAACCCTAAACCCTAAACCCTAAACCCTAATTTTCTTTTTATATAGCTATTTTATACCTATACACTAAACCCTCTTAATCTTTACACAACTCGTTATGCTCCCAAAACCCTAAACCCTAAACCCTCGTGTTTTTTTACGTGTGGGTTAGAATACTTCATGTCATCCTTATAACACCTAGGGTTTAGGGTTTAGGGTTTAGGGTTTAGGGTTTAGGGTTTAGGGTTTGTTGCATGCAGCTGCGGAAGGAGGCAGAGGAAGCACTTCTTCGTCTTTGCTGCAGCAGCAACTCGCCACGTAAGACATTAGAGCAGCAGCTGCAGCAGCAAGAGGAGGAAGCAGAAAGGGAGCAGCAGCAGCTGCTGCTGCAGCAGCAGCAGCTGCTGCTTGTGTCTCCACAAGAAAAAAGAAAAAAAGAAAAAAAGAAAATAAGAGAGTTGCAAAGACAATGGGAAGAAATACAACTCGTCAGGTAAACAAAACCCTAAACCCTAAACCCTAAACCCTAATAAACCCTAAACCCTAATAAACCCTAATAAACCCTTCGGCAGAGTTCTTAACATCCAATGCTAAACCCTAATAAACCCTCTAAACCCTAAATTAAACAAACCCTAAAACATAAACCCTAAATTAACAAGGAACTACAAACACTACAAACATTCCCCTGGGGTGCAAAGGGTTTAGGGTTTAGGGTTTAGGGTTTAGGGTTTGTGTGTAGGGAGTCGCTGGCGAAGTTATGTGGACACTCAAGAAGAAAACAAGAAATAATGATGAATTTAACAGATAAAATGCTACATGGTCTTGGAGGATTTAGCTAAACCCTAAACCCTAAACCCTAAACCCTTGGAGAAAAGGGGAATAAAAGAAAAAGTGTTTTTTTCTTTCTTGTTTTCGTTTTTAAGGAAACAAGAGACAGAGGGAATTATTATTTGCTGTTTTAATGTTTATCCTCTAGGGTTTAGGGTTTAGGGTTTAGGGTTTATAGTTGGGTACCTGCAGCAGATGAAGACTTGCTGCTGTTCGTCTTGCTGTTTACACGTTTAGCAGCAGTAAGAGGGTTTATTATTAGGGTTTAGGGTTTACGAGGGTTTAGAGTTAGTAGTGTTTATTAGGGTTTAGGGTGCGCTATTAGACCATAGCAACCTAGAGACAGAGGGGGACACGAAGGGACTCTATCTAGGGTTTACAGCAAAACACAGTCCTTTTTGTGTACACCCTAAACCCTAAACCCTAAACCCTTCTTCCCGAGGTATTATAACCAGTAAACCCTAGCTCAAAGAGTATTATTATAATAATTATATAAGAGAGAATAATAATATAAAATATAAATATTATTTATAATAATTTAAATATATATTTTTATTGTTTAATTTATATTTAATTTAACTTTTATTAATATAAGGAAAGCAGCAAAAAAGAAAAAGGCACGGCGCGGTCCTCGATTGGTCTATTGTGCTTCTTCTTGTACAGTAACCGCAGGAAGAAATGCACTAAATATTAAATAATAAAATAAAGAATAATAAAAAGGATTAATTTAAGAGAAAAAGGAGAAAAAAAGACATAAAATAACCATAAAAAGAATTATATTCATGAATATATTCAGGTGTATAGGCACCTCAAGAAGAAAGAAACCGGTGGTCGGTCGGCCGCATGCCGTTGTGTGCCATCAGGGGGGTCATTTTTCTTCTTTCTTCTCCCCTTTTTCTTCTTTTTCTTCTTTTATTTAATTAGTATATTATTAATTAAGCTAATTAAAAGAATCTTCTTCTTTTTTTTTGCTTTTTTACCGGTTGCTGCTGCTGTTTTATATATGCAGTAGCGGTCCGGTGCAGATAATCGCAGCGGCGGGGGAGGGAAGGGGAAAAAAGGAATAAAAAAAAGGAATAAAAGTATTGTTTTTATTTATTTAAATTAAATTAAGATAAATAAAAAGAAATAAAAGGGAATTATAGTATATTTATTCCCTTTTATACCCTGCAAACCATCAAAGAAATACTTTTAAGGGTTTTATTGATACTTCTGCCGAGTCAGCAGCTGCATATACACCAGAAAACCCTAAATTAGGGTTTCTGCTTTTTCTTTTTCTTCTTTTTCTTTTATTTCTTCTTTTCTTCCTTCTTCTTCTTCGCTAAATAAAGACAAAAGAAAATGACGGAAGAAGAGCAACCATGGGAGGATATACACCTTGTGAGGTAAGAACGAAACTCCAGACCCTAAACCCTCATAAAAACCCTAAACCCTAAACCCTAATGAAGATAAACCTGAGAAAACAACAGAACCCCCTCTAAACCCTCAGGGTTTAGATACAAGGGTTTAGGGTTTCTGTTCCTTTAGTGGTGGATTATTATAGATATATAAACCCTCAGAAAATCGCGTTTATTGTTTGTGAGGGTTTCTAAGAATTTATAAGGGTTTATGAGGGTTTAGGGTTTAGGGTTTAGGGTTGTATTATGTATATAGGGAGCAATTAAAGAAATTATCTGGTAATACAGAAAGAAAACAAGAAATAATGACTTATTTTACGGAGACAATGTTACAATCTTTGCAACAAAGCCAAACAAATAATTTACGTCTATTAGCAGAAAGAAATGATCTAGCGTAAACCCTAAACCCTAATAAACCCTAATAAACCCTAATAAACCCTAATAAACCGTAATAAACCCTAATAAACATTGTAAACCCTACAAAACCCTAGAAATAATATCTTCCCTCTCCCTCCCTTCCCCAAAACCCTTTCAAACCCTCATAAACCCTCCCAAACCCTAAACCCTCTTAAACCCTAAACCCTAAACCCTAAACCCTAAACCCTAAACCCTAATTATTTTTTTTTCTCTTTTTTTGTGTATATTTGCAGTCGTCTTCGTGATGAGAATTTATTACCATTAGCAGGTGTATTACAACATAAATATATAAAACAATTTAGATTAATGACTAAACAAATAATTAATTATTTTTATAAATTAAATTTTAATTCTTTTTTTAATCTTGAAGAACTTATATTCACTTATCATAAAATCGCGTAAATTATTTACTCATCCTTCTCCTCCTCCTGCTGCTCCTGCTCCTGCTGCTGCTCCTCCTGCTGCTCCTGCTCCTGCTGCTCCTGCTGCTGCTGCTCCTGCTGCTGCTCCTGCTGCTGATGGTGGTGCTGCTGATGGTGGTGGTGGTGGTGGTGCTGCTGCTGCTGTTGTTGTTGCTGTTGATGGTGGTTATGGTGGTGGGGGTGGTGGTGGTGATGCTGCTTCTGTGTGTGCTGCTGCTGCTGCTGCTGCTGCTGCTGCTGCTGTTGTTGCTGTTGCTGTTGCTGTTTG